AGGACTTGCTCATTGTTGTGACGATTATCGGAGAGATAATAATGTAGATTGTAGGCAATGAAACTACCTGTTTAATGATACAACCGCATTCTCATCAGTGGCGCACACTCAATCTTACTAACATGGGTCGAACATTAATAGCGATGACCACCGACCCACCAACCATTATCAAAGCAACTCAAATATAAGACCCTCTGGGCACTTGAGACTCTAGTCCCCCCCCCCCTAAACTCATTGAAGTTTAATATAATTTAACTTTAAATTTATTCAAAAAACTATTTTTATATAATAATAATGAATATAAAAATTAAAAACTATTACATAGGTACATTTTTTGTCTATATAGGCTAACTGTTTTTATTACTTATTTAAGTTTGTAACTTGTAAATAAGGAAACTTTTTGTCAAATCAAATTATATTCCTATACACTTAGATCAACATTTTAAACTAGCATACACAAGACAAAACTATAGCATATTATATAATTATTCAAAAATAGACAAAATGTTAAAGGCAAAATTAATAAAAATAGTTTTTACCATTTTTAATACATGATCCTTTACAAAGATGGGTATTTAAAATAAAAGCGAAGTTAATTTAGTAAGACTGAGATAGTAAAAGAACTTGAAATTGTAATTTTTACTTAAATGAGCAATACAATTTACTAAAATTAAGTTGTATATTATTTTTAAAGAGAGGAAATACAATTATTTGAAATAACAGTAATATATTAGTACAATAATGCTTTTTCTAACAATACACTTTTTCTGGCAAAATCGTTGATTATTTGATCAGTTTCAATTTTGATATCCAATTCACACGAAAGTATCATTAAGCTTTCAAGTCTACCTTCTGCCATAGTACTACGTAATTTATTTTTCACAATATTTAACTTTGAGAATGTTCTCTCTGGAGTAGTACTGGCCACTGGGAGAGTAACAGCAATTTTTAAGGCAGTAGTAAGCATTGGGAATGTAGATGATAGGCCACTGATTAGCAAAACCTTTAAAACAATTGACAAACTGCATCCATTTTTATGAAGTTTTGGTACTTCTTTGTCTTGCCTATCGTGATTGTTCTCAAAAATATCTTCTATTTCTGATTCTGATGCTTCATCAGTCAATGAACCACTGAGGTCATCATAAATTTCTATTTCAGAGTTATGCAATTGCAAGGGCAATAATTTCACTTGTTCAAAATTGAAATAACTTTTAGAAAACTGCAAATATTCCCTTTTTAAATCATCTTTCAGTATAAATTTACTGTAAACATCAGAAAACACATCAAATGCATCTTTAGGTAATAGATCATTATTTTTTGAAATTTCTTCCAAACGTCTCCGAGAAAATAAGGACAAATCTTTGTAAATACCCTTGGTGATTTCACTGAACCTTTCTTTAATCTGTATTATTGCAGTATCATATGCAACAAAAAAAGTTTGAATTTTAAAATGTTGAAGTGGATCAGTGATTACTTCATCTTGGGTTTCTTCAGCAGACTTTTTTGGAACTCTCTTTGAGCGATTTAGTGGCAATAGTTTAAAATCTTCGTTATCCACAGATGAACACATTTTAAACCTATCAACTTTTTCCTGTAATTTTAAAAAGTTTTCATCACTTCTGGCATTTTTTAGTTCACATATTTTGTCATCGACTACAGCTATAACTCCAATTAGGTCTATGTCTACAGTTTGTAACATTTTACTTAAAGGTGTCACAATTTCAAATAATTGTTTGTAAATAAATGCAGTCAACAAAAATTTGTCACAAATTAAATTTTCTTTTAAACATTTTGCTTGGTGGGCTCCTTTTCGATCACTTAAACTTTCACTTTTTTGAAGTTCTTCTAATGTGTCACATAATGCATCAAATGTATACAATACTGTGTTTAATGCCAAATCATGGGACCACCACCTTGTTGTCTGAACCCTTTTAAATCGACGTTTACGTTGTTTATTACCATAACATTTTTCTTGATGTAGTTCAAATAATGCAACCCTTTTCTTACTTGAATTAATAAAATCATGTACAGTTTCTATAATTCCAAACATATCAACAGCATTCACAGAGGAACTAACTGCATCGGTAAGGACCAAATTCAGTCGGTGTGAATAACACCACACAAAAATAGCAGCTGTATTAGAACGCCTAATTATAGCTTGGAGACCATTATATGAACCACGCATATTACTAGCCCCATCATAGGACTGTCCCACTAAATAATCTTTCCAATTTAAAGAATTGTCATTACAAATGTTTTCAAAAATATTAAACAATTGTTCAGAAGACGTATTATTGCATTCTTTTAAGTTAATTAACCTTTCATTGATTTCTCCACTATCTTCATTTAAATATCTTATCACAAATGCTAACTGTTCTTTTCTAGAGTTATCAAAGGTACCATCCATTGTAAGACTAAAAAATTTGGCAGTTTTTATCTGTTTCAAAATCACAACACGAGTATAACTAGCTAAAGATTCTATAATTTGATTTTGCCGTCTCCATGAAATAAAATCATACTTGTTTTTATTTTTTTCTTGATGCCCAACAATGTAAGTTGCTAAGATAGGATGATATTTGCCCAGTAAGCAAACTAGATCTTTAAAATTTCCTCTTAAATTGTCCGACCAACTTTCTCGGTGTCCTCGAAAAGCAAGGGAATGTCTAGCTAAGTATAAAATTATTTCTATAATAGCTTCAACAATCATACGATTTTTTGCAACAAACTCATTTCTTGCTTTTAACATACTAGGCAAAAGAGGCAAACATGTATCTTCCAATTTAATTTTAAGACAAGCTTCAATATGATTTGATGATGTTTCGTGCATCACTATTCTCTCAGATGCTTTATTCCAACTGCTGAAGCCTGTGCTAGTCCATACAGTACTTTTTTCATTTACGATTAATATGCAATAAATGCAAAATATTTTATCTTTACTACAAGAGTAAGAAATCCATTCTCTTCTAGTAGCTGAACCATCTGGCATGGTTTTCATATACCAGGAACATTGAAAACTTCTACTATTGTGTACTGGAAATCTTT